CATTCTTGATGCTTACAATTATCTCTATCTATAATGAACTTGGCCTTGTAGTTTCAGTGGAAATTATTTTGTAAAAATTTACAAAATTTATGAAAATTGTTAAAAATTTATTATAAAGGGCAATAACTCCTTAAGGGGTCAATTGACCATTTTGGTCATGTGACTTATTTGTAGGTCTTACTTTGCTGTACATTATTGCTCTTTACAGTTTATCTCTATCTATAATAATATTCAAGATAATAACCAAAAGCTGAAAAAATTTCTAAAATTTACCAATTCAGGGGCAGCAACCCAACAACGGGTTGCCTGAATGGTCTGAAAATTTAAGGGCAGATAGATCTTGACCTAATGAACAATTTTGTTTTTGAAAGATTTGCTAGAAATGCTTTGGGTTTAGATATATGAGCCAAAAACTGCATTTTACCCTATGTACTATTATTAGCCATGTCGGCCATAAATTTTTAAACTACATACCCTAATGATGATTGTTTACAACTTTAGTTAAATTCATCTTATTAGTTTCAGAGGAGAAGATTTTTGTAAAAGATAACAAAAATTTACGAAAAATTGTTAAAAATTGACTATAAAAGAGCAATAACTCCTTAAGGGGTCAACTGACCATTTTGGTCATGTTGACTTATTTGTAGAACTTACTTTGCTGAACATTATTGCTGTTTACAGTTTATCTCTATCTATAATAATATTCAAGATAATAACCAAATAAGGCAAAATTTCCTTAAAATTACTAATTCAGGGGCAGCAACCTAACAACGGGTTGTCCGATTCATCTGAAAATTTCAGGGCAGATAGATCTTGGACAGAAGCTTCTTACAATCAAAAGATTGTATCGAAAGGAATATTGTTATTATTTTTTTTCCTCATTTTTATTGAGCCTGCGATTATTAACAGCAAAAGTAGGCGAGACATTGGGTTCCGCGGAACCCTTACGATGTTTTTTTGTTGTTGACACATTTGTATGTTTTTATAGTGATTAAGATTATAAAACAATGTTGACTGCTGTACCCCTATTTTTGACATTTTTACCTTTTATGTCAGTTTGTTTTGTTCACACATTGTTGTCAATATAATGGAATTTTATGCGACTGTCATACAAGTGATAGGTTTAGCTAGCTACACAACCAGGTTTAATCCACCATTTTCTACATAAGAAAATGTCTGTACCAAGTCAGGAATATGACAGTTGTTTCCAATTCGTTTGATGTGTTTGAGCTTTTGCTTTTACCATTCTGTTTCTGTTAATATCTTCTGCCAATCAAGGCACACCTCCTGGAACCAGGAGTACGGTATAAACGTATAAATAAAAACACCGAATATTCTCCACAAAATATTTACACCAGCTCCATAGGAATATATATAAAAGGAGTATGTCCGATCTTAAAATTCGTACCGTTAATTGTGTAATCTATAGATAAGATATCTACACAGGGGTTCTAAATGAGTATTAATGTCAATAGTAAGCTCTTTATGTGCTGAGTTGATACAGTAAGTATATGGATTCACTACAACAGTTAGAAGATCTATTTCTACTGAATTGCTATATTTAGCAAAAAGCAGGCTAGAAGGGTTGGTGATCTTTTCAAGAATATGTTTACGTATATATTCTAGCTGGGTACAACCAAGCAGAAAATGAGCAAGCGTCTCTTCGCTACAATTGCAGAGCGTACAGACTACATCTATTTTGTTTGGATTAAAGGCGGCTCTATTTGTTTGGAGAATGTGTGTACCAGTAGCAATTTTAGCCGTACTGCCAGACTAGTATCCTCGAAATATCTCTGATGTTTGCATCTACAGTTCTTGCTATAGGATGAAATTGTCCTACTGTATAGCTCATTTCAAAATATGCTAATGTAGGATACATTCTGGATTCATACGTTTTACCCAATAATTATTGGCCTTTTTCATCATCTCTGTTAGTAGTATATGTATAGTTTGCAGTGATATTCAACTTTTCAAGCTAGTTCTCAACTTTACGAATTACAAAGCGGGTAATTTTGTCTCTGACTGCTAAAATGAGGTCATCAGTACTACTGTTAATGTTATTAGATGTACATTTATTGGTGTTTTTGATTTTCAAGTAAATATATTCTCTTGTTCATGGTCTTTATAGTTTACTCTAGTTCAAAGTTTCTGCTTTCTGCTTTATGGAGCCTACCCAGTAGTCATGTTTTTCCTTAACTTCGTCATTGTCATTCTATAAGGGACTTTCCGTTTTGAATTTTCCTTGGAGTCCGGTATTATTGTTATTTTACTTTCTACCAATTAAAGCTGAAATACACCTTAACGCTCTAACAATTTTTGGAATCATCACCAAAGCCAAGAAAACATCAATATGAATGGAGATTGACAGAAAGACAGCTACAATTAAAATCACATCAAAGTAAAAGCTGGTTCATTGCAGTAAAGAAAATAGGCTAAAATATGATTTGTCTGACTGCCAGAAATTCTTAATATATCCTGTTGGAAAATTACAATGGAGTAATCTGATAAAAAGGAGTGAAAAGATAAATTACAACTCTGAGGGTTATTCAAGTTTACAACACATATCAAGTGCATATAAGATCAAAGCAATTCCTCCAATCCTTACAACAATCAACTCAAACTGTAGAGACATCAACAGAATACCTATCAGAACATAAATTACAAAAGGAATTTACATACTACAGTCAAATAGAGCCAAATTCAACAAAAGTGAGGTACCTGCTACCTGTAAAATCTGTAGTAAAGAGAAACTATAGAACACTTCCTGATCTCATGTACTGCACTAGAATCGGAACGAGAAAATCGTCTAATCTTAATAAGTGAGCAATGTCTACAGAATGTATGAACTTTTAAACATTAACTTAGATGTAAACTTAACCAATGTTGAAATTAGATCTTTGAATATAGTTTATATTGGCACAAATATGATTTTGTCATCAGCAAATTAAAACATAACTAAATTTGTATTCTTTTCAAACGGGATGTATAAATACACATCCACTTTCATTTTTTCTATATAGAGGTTAACTCTTAACTATCCTACTGCCTGTCGATACTTTTATTTTTGGCATTGCACAAGTCATGTCTTCTTTGACTGTCCATGACGTTAAAATACTAAATCCCCGGGATGTGTTTTAGTTGATTTTAGTCTCTGATGCATGATTTTTTATTATCAATTGTTTTGGCTTTTAACTAACTTTCAGTAACCGCAAGTACTCTCAAATCGTACTTTCTAGTTAATTTGACCTGTTGATACAATTTGTAATGCTTTTTTGTTATTTGATGTTTACTTATTTAATGTTATATCTGGTCTCTCTATTTTTTTTTATATATAACAGCTTTGATAAGTGTTTGTTATGACTATAAATTTTCACTTCTGTTCTCGTACTAGGAACAACAAAATTATTTATTTTGTAAAAAATATTTCCATTCTCTATTTATACTGTATACCTTACTACAAAATTATTTTCATTCACCTGTGTCCATTATTCTATTTGGCGGCATTTAATTCAAGGTTATGGTTGTTTTTCTGAAATTGTTTAACATCTAACCCCTTATTTTATTGATTTTGTATTTCCATTGAGTAATAGATCAAATTTATTCGTTCACTTGTGTTAATATGTCTTTTGATTGAGTTAAGCCATTTCAATTGATATTTTATAGTGTGTCTTTCTATGTTGTGATGTTACACTATTGTTTCAGAAAAGGGTGAAGGTTGGTACCTATTAAAATGCTTAAACCCGCTGCATTTGTTTGCACCTGTCCTAAGTCAGGAATCTGATGTTCAGTAGTTGTCGTTTGTAGATTTGGTTCATAAGTGTATCTCGTTTTTTATATAGATTAGACAGTTTGTTTTCCCGTTTGAATGGTTTTACACTTGTCATTTTTGGGGCCCTTTAAAGCTTGCTGTTCGGTGTGAGCCAAGGCTCTGTGTTGAAGACCGTACTTTGACCTATAATGGTTTACTTTTACAAATTGTGACTTGGATGGAGAGTTGTCTCATTGGCACTCATACCACATCTTCTTATATCTATTAACCCATGTCATAATTAACCTTTACTACCTTGTGAAATTCTGTGTCTGCACTCAAACAAGTGATTTATGTAGCTTTATTAGCTATTATGTTGAACCTGCTTGTAGAACACTTATATATAAGCTGCATATGCAAATGTGCAAGCTCTTAAACTCAGGACAGAAAAACAAATTTAGCTACGTAGAAGTTGTGGGTGGACTGTGGATCAATTATTTTCAATAAAATGCTCCAAAGGGCGCAGTTTGATAATACCGCAGAGGTCAAACCCTGAACAGTTTGGGCAAGTATGGACACAACATTCAAGCTTGATGCAGCTCTGAATTTGGATTGTGGTTAAATATTTGACACAGCATAGGTTTCTGACTCAGGATGAATGTGGTTAAAGAGCTTAAAAATTTGAAATTGGACTTTAACCTTTCATGGTCTAATATCTAAAATCTAATTACATGGTTAGATTCAGCATAGCAAAGAACTCCAAGAATTCAGTTTTTGATGAAATCAAACAAACTTTAATTTTGGACCCTTTGGACCTCAATTCGGACCAATTTGATAACGGGGCCCATTATTCAAAAATCTATATACACGGTTAGATTAAGCATATCAAAGAATCCTAAGAATTCAATTTTTGTTGAATTAAACAAAGTTTAATTTTAGACCCCCATTTGGATCCACTTGCAAACTGTGCCCAAAATAAAAAATCTAAAACATTCAGCATATCAAGAAACCCCAAGAATTAATTTTTTGTTAAAATAAAACTAAGTTTAATTTAGGACCCTTAGGACCTTAATGCGAACCAATTTCAAAACAGGGCCCAAAATTCTAAAATCTAAATACATGATTAGATTCGGCATATCAAAGAACCCCAATAATTATTAAGCAATTATTAAATTATATAACCCTGTTATTGTAACAGCCATATATACCAAGCCAGCTCTGGTTAATTTAATTGAATACAAGAAATTAACCATTGAACTGATTTTCTGTATTTAATAATTTAATTTGGCACAATCATTAAGTAATAATTATCAAATCTTTCTCGAAAAGACACTATTCAACTTTCAAACCTAAAAAACAAGAACTCGCATTTTAGTTTATACTTGTATATAACAAATAATTGCAACCTGGTAAGAAGTTGTTTTGTCTTGCAATTGATATATGTAACATAGCTTTGAAACAATCTTGGTCATTTCCACATCATAAGTTTTTTTTAGCTCACCTGGCCCAAAATTAACCAAACATGGCCACAATCATTGGTGAGTATAGTTTAACAAGTGTGTGCAATGACCAAATCTGCCAACAAACATTGCCAACATTGGTAAAAATAGAACACAGGCAAATTATCAACCACTACAGATCAAGAAAATCTGACATTGTCCTAAAAGTTTAGAATGTTGATATCTATCTACTGTCTATTTACATCAAAACTGTCAGACGAATTATTATAAGGAGTTATTACCCTTTAATGACAAATTTTAATTTTTTGCATGTTTGCCTATTATCCTTAAAACTATAATAGACAAATAGATATTTTAATTGGCAAAAATAATCAGCAAAACAAGACCTTGAAATATGTCATCAAGGCCGAAATCATCAGTTTACTTCTTACTGGAGTTGTTGCTCTTTAATGATGATTTTTATTTTTTTTTATCTTTTTTTGCCTAGTATCTTGAAACTATAATATAGATACAGAAAAGCTTTAAATAGAAAAATGATCCACAAGGCAAAATCTTTAAACAAGTTCATATTGCTGAAATTGTTGGTCAACTCTTTTTGTGCCCTTAAATGACAGTTTTTGATCCTTTTGTTTTGGGAAAAAACAATAGAAGACAAGACCTATGGGCCAGGTGAGCAAAAAATGCAAAGTAATTCGTGGCCAAATTAAACAACCACTCTTAAAATACTGAAAGTGTGTGACATTTTTTTCTGATCTTCTGTCTATAGGAACACAGATCTGCTATGTTTATAGCATGTTACATACATTATCTATGCTAATTTTAAAGTTGTGATCTTATGGTCAAACTATTAACCATTTGGCATTTGAAATATTTTTCGAGCTAAATAACATTTTAAGCATTGAAAAAAACAACAATGTTTTTATTCAAGTAAAATTTTGACAGGATGAAATTTGCATAATTAAAACTAATAGTAATTATTCTACCACAACAGAAACCAACTAATTTTTTATTTATTTTCGCAAGTAGAAACTAACACATATTTTCGCAAGTAGAAAATAACACAGATTTTGTTTGTTCCTAATTGTGAATCTTGGATCTTCCATTATATAAATATATCATAACTAGAGGCTCTCAAGAGCCTGTGTCGCTCACCTGATTCTACTTTTGTTTTGGAATAGATTAAAATCACAACAGATACCCTAATAATGAGTGAGGCCAAATTTGGTTTAATATTGGCCCTGTAGTTTAATAAAAATTCCCGGTGGCCATCTTGAACAGTAAATCGGCAACAAAGTAGCAACACTTCATCAGCTCCTCATAAGAAACATTTATGCCATGTTTGGTTTCATTCCATTCAATGGTTCTCTAAAAGAAGACATTTGTATGTATTTCCCATAGGGTCCTATGTTAAACTAAGTCCCCCGCTGGCGGCCATCTTTAATGATGGATCGACTTCAAAGTAACAACACTTGGTCAGCACCTCATAAGGAACATTCATGCCATGTTTAGTTTCATTCCATTCAGTGGTTCTCTAAAAGAAGACATTTGTATGTATTTCCCATAGGGTCTTATGCTAAAGGAAGTCCTCCTGCTGGCAGCCATCGTGAATGAAGGATTAGCTTCAAAGTAACAACACTTAGTCAGCACCTCATAAGGAACATTCATGCTATGTTTGGTTTCAATCCATTCAGTGGTTCTCTAAAAGAAGACATTTGTATGTATTGTCCATAGGGTCCTTTGTTAAACATTGTCCCAAGCTGGCGGCCATCTTGGATGATGGATCGGCTTCAAAGTAACAACACTTGGTCAGCACCTCATAAGGAACATTCATGTCATGTTTGGTTTCATTCCATTCAGTGGTTCTCTAAAAGAAAACATTTGTATGTATTTCCCAAAGGGTCCTATGTTAAACTAAGTCCCCCGCTGGCGGCCATCTTGGATTATGGATCAGCTTCAAAGTAACAACACTTGGTCAGCACCTCATAAGGAACATTCATACCATGTTTGGTTTCATTCCATTCAGTGGTTCTCTAAAAGAAAACATTTGTATGTATTTCCCAAAGGGTCCTATGTTAAAGTAAGTCCGCTGCTGGCGGCCATCTTGGATTATGGCTCGGCTTCAAAGTAACAACACTTGGTCAGCACCTCATAAGGAACATCCATGTTTGGTTTCATTACATTCAGTGGTTCTCTAAAAGAAGACATTTGTAAATATTTCCCATAGGGTCCTATATTAATTTAAGTCCCCCGCTGGCGGCCATCTTCGATTATGAATCGGCTTCAAATAGCAACACTTGGTCAGCACCTCATAAGGAATATTCATGCCATGTTTGGTTTCATTCCATTCAGTGGTTCTCTAAAAGAAGACATTTGTATGTATTTCCCATAGGGTCCTATGTTAAACTAAGTCCCCCGCTGGCGGCCATCTTGAATGATGGATCGACTTCAAAGTAACAACACTTGGTCAGCACCTCATAAGGAACATTCATGCCATGTTTGGTTTCATTCCATTCAGTGGTTCGCTAGAAGAAGTTCAAAATGTAAAAAGTTAACGACGACGGACAACGACTACAGACGCCAAGTGATGAGAAAAGCTCACTTGGCCCTTTGGGCCAGGTGAGCTGAAACTGAGATCACAAAACAAAATTGCTGCAAAGTCAGCAAGAAAGATGTAGAAGATTTACATTAATAATGTCAAAATTTTATAAATGTGAATTAACAGTCTGTATTGTTAGTAAATAATAGTACTTTGTTTTCTTATTTTGTGCAAATTTCTTTTTAGATGGAAAATAAACAGACAAATTTCATCCATATCATATATCTCTAAATAATATATATAATAAAAAGTTTGGAAATTGTGAACTTTTAAATTCAATTGTGTGGTGAACACTATAATGTCAAAATTATTATTGTCAAAGAAAATTTAAAATGACAATAAAAGATTTAGAAGGGGCAAGCTCACCGAATTACAGATAATAAAGCTACACATCAATTTTAGCTTTTACTTAGAGCTCATTAACAACTTCTTATTATATATTCAAAAAAATATTCAAGAAGGGGGATTGTCTTCCCTGACTCACTATTATAATTGATTGATTGACTAGTGTTTTAACGCCATTTTCAACACTATTGTGCTGTTTCGTGGCGGTCAGTTTTTATTAGTGGACAAAGCCTGAGTGCCCAGAGAGAACCATCGACCTTTCGTAGGAAAACTAACAATCTTAGTCAATTATGATTGGAGTCGAGAGCACCTGCCACTTGCGGGATTGGAACTCACAACCTCGGTGTTGACAGGCTAGCGGTACAGTTGTTCGACTACTTAGACCACTCGGCAACTAAGGCCCCCACAACAATAATGAATGATACATGAATTATCAGAACTATATAAAATAATATCAGATTATTTAGTCTATATTGTATGGGAAAAGATTTGTATAGGTTGTTTGCCTTTTGTCCAATACCTTTGTGTAAATGTCCATTGATGTTTGAATAATAATATACGATACTTTGAATTGAATTGAATTAATAGCTTTTACAGCCTTCAAAGTAATTGTTAATTGCAATGCAAATTAATGTACAGTAAAATGAGTAACTTTGGCAGAAGTAATAATTTTAAACATCTAAGATAAAAGATAAAAAGTTTCACCAATTCAGCTATATGATTAAATAAAATGCTCCGCAGGGCGCAGCTTGATACGACCGCAGAGGTTGAACCCTGAACAGTTGGGGCAAGTATGGACACAACATTCAAGCTTGATACAGCTTTGCATTTGGATTGTGATTAAATATTTGACACAGCATAAATTTCTGACACAGAATGAATGTGGTCTAAGAACTTAAAAATTTTAAATTGGACATTCACCTATTATGGTCCAATATCCAAAATCTAAATACATGGTTAGATTCAGCATATCAAAGAACCCCAAGAATTCAATTTTTGATGAAATCAAACAAAGTTTAATTTTGGACCCTTTTGACCTCAATGTGGACAAAGTTGATAACGGGGCCCAAAAATCAAAAATCTAAATACATGGTTAGATTCAGCATATCAAACAACCCCATATATTCAATTTTTGTTGAAATCAAACAAAGTTTAATTTTGGACCCCGATTTGGACCAACTTGAAAACTGGGCCCATAATCAAAAATCTAAATACATGTTTAGATTCAGCATATCAAAGAACCCTAAGAATTCAATTTTTGTTAAAATCAAACTAAGTTTAATTTTGGACCCTTTGGACCTTAATGTAGACCAATTTGAAAACGGAACCAAAAATTAAGAATCTAAATACACGGTTAGATTCGGCATATCAAAGAACCCCAATAATTCAATTTTTGATGAAATCAAACAAAGTTTAATTTTGGACCCTTTGGACCTCAGTGTGGACCAATTTAAAAACGGGGCCCAAAATCCAAATACTAAATACACGGTTAGATTCAGCATATATATTAAAGAACCCCAGGAATTCAAGAATAAAACCCCATTGAAATTGGTCAAGAAATAAGCAATTTATACGAAGAATCTTCTTTTGCACAATACTGTGCAATTAAATATTTCTTGCTATTGCGCAATACTGTACAATTGACAATTTCTTGCTATTGCGCAATATTGTGCTATTGGATATTTCTTGCTATTGCGCAATACTGTGCAATTGAAGATTTCTTGCTATTGTGCAATACTGTGCAATTGAAGATTTCTTGCTATTGTGCAATACTGTGCAATTGAAAATTTCTTGCTATTGCACAATACTTATTATATAATAATTTACACATCCTGTTTGGTGTGTATCTCCTACCATATCATTATTATTTGCTTTTAAATATAAATCAGAAATAACCAACTTAAAATGGAAAATTTTAAAAGAAAAAAAAAAGGAAAAAAGGAAAAAAAAAAAAATCCCCCCCCCAAATTTTTTGAACCCCCTTATGATTCATCACCCCAAACTCAATCCCAGCCTTCCCTTTGTGGTATGGTACCTTGCAGTACAATTTCAGAGAGATCCATACACTTACACACAATTTATTGTCCTGAAACTAGAAAAAGCTTGTTTTTTTGCCCCTTTTTGGCCCCTAATTCCTAAAATATTGAGGCAATTACCCCCATCCTTCCCTTTGTGGTATGGTACCTTGCAGTACAATTTCAGAGAGATCCATACACTTGAACACAAGTTATTGTCTGGAAACTAGAAAAATGCTTATTTTTGGCCCCTTTTTGGCCCCCAATTCCTAAACGTTTCGGCAATTACCCCCAAACTCAATTCCAGCTTTCCCTTTGTGATATGGAACCTTGTAGTACAATTTCAGAAAGATCCTTACACTTACACACAAGTTATTGTCATGAAACTAGAAAAATGCTTGTTTTTTGCCCCTTTTTTGGCCCCTAATTCCTAAAATTTTGAGGCAATTACCCCCAAAATCAATCCCAGCATTCCTTTTGTGATATGGAACCTTGTGGTACAATGTCAGAGATATCCATACACTAACACACAAGTTATGTCTGGAAGTTACAAAAATGCTTATTTTTGGCCCCTTTTCGGCCCCTAATTCCTTTACTGTTGGTACCATAACCCCAAAAATCAATCCCAACCTTCCTTTTGTGGTATTGAACCTTGTGGTAAAATTTCATAGAGATCCATGCACTTAAACTAAAGTTAGAGTGCGAAAACCAATGTGTCTTCGGACGACGCCAGACGACGACGACGACGCCAACGTCATACCAATATACGACCACAAAAATTTTTTTGCGGTCGTATAAAAATTATAACAGCGTGAAATATATCTAACTTGCAGATAAATTCTTACCAAAAATTTCTTTTTTTTTTTATTATAGAAATGATACTGAGAGTCAGAAATGGATCAAATTTCAGAAACAGTCCTAGTGTCTTAAACTAATTACACATAGTACAGAATATATAAATATGTTCAGTATAGGTATAGCCCTTATAGACTTTTATTATAATATGCAAGCATGCTCAGAAACTGCTAAAGATGGAACATTTGTATATTTAACCTATAAAAATCAAATTATCATATACATAAATTTTAAAACACACAAAATTCATACTTTTCTTCCATTAAATAATTGTTTAACTATTTCCTTCTTGTTGACTTTTCCCATTGCATTTCTAGGAATTTCCGAGACATTTTTTAGTTCTGATGGTATTTGGTATGAAGGAATTTTATTGCGACACCAGGATTTTAAATCAAAGAGTTTTAAATGGTGATTTGATTTAGTCACTATAACTGCTGCGACCTTCTGACCCCAGGTAATGTCAGGTAAACCCACCACCACACATTCTGAAATATCTGGATGTTCCAGTAGATGGCGTTCTATGTCTAAAGCACTGATTTTATATCCGCCACTCTTGATGATATCGACAGAGGTCCTTCCCATGATTCTGTATACCCCATCTGTGTAGACTGCAGTATCACCTGTTCAATATGGTGAAACAAAAAATTCATTGGTCTGCTTTAAAGACAGAAGACTTACTTGAATAGATAATTGAAGCAATTTCAAAAGTTTTTACTTATTTATCAAAATATATTTACATCTGAAAGATTTAATCAACAACTAAATATCAGATTTTTAAATGTTGCTTGCAATGTTCAACAAGAGTGCACACGCTGAAATGTCTCGCCTTCTTTACTAATCATTGATATTATGTTGATAGTCCTAAATATAAAGCTTTATTACAACTGTCACATAAACTTAACATTAACCAAGTAAACTAAACATTGACCAATGAACCATGAAAATGAGGTCAAGGTCAGATGAACCATGCTAGGCAGGCATGTACAGCTAACAATTCTTCCATACAACAAATAGAGTTGACCTATTGCTTATAGTTTACAGACCAAAACACAAAAACTTAACACTGAGCAATGAACCTTGAAAATGAGGTCAAGGTCAAATAAAACCTGCGTGACTGCCAAATAGATCATAAAATATTTCCATACACCAAATATAGTTGAACTATTGCATATAGTATAAGAAAAACAGACCAAAACACAAAAACTTAACTATAACCACTGAACCATGAAAATGAGGTCAAGGTCAGATGACACCTGCCAGTTGGACATGTACACCTTACAGTCCTTCCATACACCGAATATACTAGACCTATTGCTTATAGTATCTGAGATATGGACTTGACCACCAAAACTTAACCTTGTTCATTGATCCATGAAATGAGGTCGAGGTCAAGTGAAAACTGTCTGACGGGCATGAGGACCTTGCAAGGTACGCACATACCAAATATAGTTGAACTATTGCACATAGTATTAGAAAAAAAGACCAAAACTCAAAAACTTAACTTTGACCACTGAACCATGAAAATGAGGTCAAGGTCAGATGACACCTGCCCGCTAGACATGTACACCTTACAATCATTCCATACACCAAATATAGTAGACCTATGGCATACAGTATGAGAAAAACAGACCAAAACACAAAAACTTAACTATAACCACTGAACCATGAAAATGAGGTCAAGGTCAGATGACACCTGCCAGTTGGACATGTACACCTTACAGTCCTTCCATACACCGAATATACTAGACCTATTGCTTATAGTATCTGAGATATGGACTTGACCACCAAAACTTAACCTTGTTCATTGATCCATGAAATGAGGTCGAGGTCAAGTGAAAACTGTCTGACGGGCATGAGGACCTTGCAAGGTACGCACATACCAAATATAGTTGAACTATTGCACATAGTATTAGAAAAAAAGACCAAAACTCAAAAACTTAACTTTGACCACTGAACCATGAAAATGAGGTCAAGGTCAGATGACACCTGCCAGCTAGACATGTACACCTTACAATCATTCCATACACCAAATATAGTAGACCTATGGCATACAGTATAAGAAAAACAGACCAAAACACAAAAACTTAACTATAACCACTGAACCATGAAAATGAGGTCAAGGTCAGATGACACCTGCCAGTTGGACATGTACACCTTACAGTCCTTCCATACACCGAATATACTAGACCTATTGCTTATAGTATCTGAGATATGGACTTGACCACCAAAACTTAACCTTGTTCACTGATCCATGAAATGAGGTCGAGGTCAAGTGAAAACTGTCTGACGGGCATGAGGACCTTGCAAGGTACGCACAAACCAAATATAGTTATCTTATTACTTATAATAAGAGAGAATCTAACATTACAAAAAATCTGAACTTTTTTTTCAAGTAGTCACTGAACCATGAAAATGAGGTCAAGGACATTTGACATGTGACTGACGGAAACTTCGTAACATGAGGCATCCATATACAAAGTATGAAGCATCCAGACCTTCCACCTTCTAAAATATAAAGCTTTTAAGAAGTTAGCTAACGCCGCCGCCGCCGCCGGATCGCTATCCCTATGTCGAGCTTTCTGCGACAAAAGTCGCAGGCTCGACAAAAATAAAAGTGGTGATAATTTTTAACTTATACGAGCTTTTAGAAATATTTTCTGAGTTGTATGTGGAGGAATGTGACAAACCTTCCTGACAAATCTGAATAAAATTATAGTTCAACAGAATAAAGGGACATGGTGTATAAATTCATGACATAAACACACACTTGATAAACCTAAAGCAAATAAACATTGTTTCAATTGCTGTTCTTCAATTCAAAGTCAATGGAGCATAATACTGCAAGCAAATAGTCCATTTTTCCTAAAATTGAGGCAGAAGATACCAAAGTGACTAAGACTCCAACTGAAATTTAAAACAGCTAATATTGTCCCATTTAGGGAGCTACCATTTGATTTTTATGGGGGGGGGGGGGGGGGGGGGGGGGGGGGGGGGGGGGCTAGGATGAAAAATTTTGTCCTGCATTTTTTTTTAGTTGTAATCTCTGTCCTGCCTTTTTATTTTTCACTCTATTCGGTCCTGCCTTTTTTTACATAAATTGTCATCCTGCCTTTTTTGTTTGCCAAGTTGCTCATCCTGCCTTTTGTTTTACTCAAAACTCCTGTCCTGCCTTTTTTTTCAACTTTCATCCTAGCCCCCCCATAAAAATCAAATGGTAGCTCCCTTACATCAACAATTCTGAGAGAAAATATTCAACCTTTTTTTTATAAAAGACTGACAAATCAGATAGGGTATGCCAAGTGATCTGACTAGATGACTGCGTCTTTTTATAACTTTTTCTGGAGGTAGCTTTGGTGTACCGGTATGTGAATTATTCTGACCTGTTTTAAACCAGCCATCTTTAGTAAAACTAGATTTAGTAGCTGACGGATTCTTCCAATATTCCTTGAATACTGTTGGTCCTTTTACTAATAACTCTCCCTGCTCACCTTCCATTCCTTTATTAAAAAGAAAAGAAATAAATATTCAGTATGATAGATGTAAATAAAGTGTTCCTCCTGTCAAAGCAGTAGTGCATTGCCGCATTTACAATGATTATTTCTTTATTAATGAACTGATGTCAATAAGGCTATTTTCATTTCTTCCCCACTTCCATTAAAAATGAAATAAAAATTCTAAATACATGATTTTCCTAAACATGTCCCTCTAAACAAATCCATTTCTGACAGTAAGTCTCAACACTAAAATGATGACTAATGACTTATACTGTGACAATGTATTTTAAAATACAACTAATTATTCATTCCATCAAAGTGAACAATATAATGTTCTACAAAAAAAAAAGGCTAAACTTTCCAACTATATGAACTTGGTGTTGACAAGACTTATATATGTGCTTAAGTATTCATCATATGATTGTATACATCGCACATTGTATAATTGTATACATAGTATAATTAAATTCATCGTTTAAATGTATACATCGCAAAATAGTATACATCATAAAATTGTATATACGTGTATCGTATAATTGTATGATTTTGAACATTACATAATTATACACATTCAATTGTATACATCGTATAACTGTATACATTGTATACTTGTCTACATCCTATAACTGTATACATTGTATACTTGTCTACATTGTATAACTGTATACATTGTATACTTGTCAACATCGTATAACTGTATACATGTACATTGTATACTTGTCTACATCCTATAACGGTATACATTGTATACTTGTCTACATCGTATAACTGTTTACATTGTATACTTGTCTACATCCTATAACTGTATACATTGTATACTTGTCTACATCCTATCACTGTATACATTGTATACTTGTCTACATCCTATAACTGTATACATTGTATACTTGTCTACATCGTTTAACTGTTTACATTGTATACTTGTCTACATCTTATATAACTGTATACATTGTATACTTGTCTACATCCTATTACTGTATACATTGTATACTTGTCTACATCCTATAACTGTATACATTGTATACTTGTCTTTATCGTATAACTGTATATATACTTGTCTACATCTTATAACTGTATACATTGTATACTTGTCTACATCGTATAACTGTTTACATTGTATACTTGTCTACATCGTATAACTGTTTACATTGCATACTTGTCTACATCGTATATAACTGTATACATTGTATACTTGTCTACATCCTATAACTGTATACATTGTATACTTGTCTACATCGTATAACTGTTTACATTGTATACTTGTCTACATCGTATAACTGTTTACATTGTATACTTGTCTACATTGTATAACTGTATACATTGTATACTTGTCTACATCGTATAACTGTATACATTGTATACTTGTCTACATCCTATAACTGTATACATTGTATACTTGTCTACATCCTATAACTGTATACATTGTATACTTGTCTACATCGTATAACTGTTTACATTGTATACTTGTCTACATCGTATAACTGTTTACATTGTAAACTTGTCTACATTGTATAACTGTATACATTGTCTTGTCTGCATTGTATAACTGTATACATTGTCTTGTCTGCACTATACAATTGTATACATCATATAACTGTTTACATTCTATAATTGTATACATTGTATCATCATGACAAATAATGTTTTTGTTGCAAAAATAAATATATAAAGTCTTTTTGAGCTTTTCTAATGCCAAGGCAATCATCTTAATCAAATATGTATTTTTTGTGGGTTCTTTTTGCTAAGTTAAATTATCTGTTTAGTCCTTGTAGTATTTGCTGAGTTGGTTTTGGCTGCTATAGTGATTGCCAACACTTGTGTTAGTACTTGAGGAGTTTCCTCCTTCCATTCCAATTACCTAAAGTCAAAAGTAGATTTTCATGTTGCCATTGTTATTACCTTTTGTCACATTTGTAGTTGTGGAGTTTCCTTTTGCTATGACATCATAACTATTAGTACTATAAACATTAGGTTTACTGATGGCTACCCTCACACCTGGAAATGGATTGCCTACTGCTCCTTACAAAAAATAGTATAAAAAACAGGTACTTTATATAAACAAAGTTTTTCTCATCCCATATAAAAATCAACGAAGCTACGAAGTCTAAGATATGTCAGACTGAGTATAATTTTTTGAATAAAGTTATCTGTACCATATTTGTAAGTATGCCACTTACTAACTATCTGAACTAGAGGCTCTAAAGAGTGTGTTGCTCACCCAGGTCAATGTGCATCTTCAACATTGTAGACCAGAATAGAATTTATGACAAAAATCTTTTTTTTGTTGATGTTGTATTGGTGATAATTTTTCTGTTTACAATTTTTCTCTATCTTCTAAAACACAAAAAAATATTTTTTATGATATAAGACAAAAACGCAAAAAATGGGTTAAAATCGTCATTAAAGGGCAAAAACTCTAATAAGCTGTCAGACGATTTCTTCCATATGCTTGAATTGTAGATCTTGTCGAGCTGATCACTTTTACTTATCTAAGTTTCTACCCATCTATAATAATTATCATGATGTAAGGCAAAAATGCAAAACATTGATAAAAATTGTCACTTTATTTGAACTTGGGTGGATAGTTGTCTCATTGACAATCATACCACATCTCCTTATTTTTATTCTAAAGGGCAAAAACTCCAATAAATAGTATTCTGACGATTTCAGCAATGTTGCTCTTCAAAGTTTGTCTCTATCTATTATTCATGTTATTGTTTTTTAGATAATAGGCAAAAATGCCAAAAATGAGAAAAAAATCGTCATTTAAGGGCAAAAATTAGTAAAAAGTCGTCTGACAGTTTTCATTTAAATAGACAATATGAAGATCTCAACATTCTCCATATTTCTGGCCCTGTCAGATTTTCTCAATTGTAGTGGTTTTCAAGATAAGACAAGTGATGAGAAAAGCTCACTTGTCCCTTTGGACCAGGTGAGCTTAAAATGAATTGAAATAAACACCTTTATACTAGTCAATGAATCATTATTGTAAATTAATCATAATGCACCAGTCAAAATTTTAATGAGATGCATCGATAATTATGTAAACTATACTAAATATAAATTACTTCTTCCAAAACCTGAAACTTATCAGATAACTTTACATTAGGTATTGGCGTGGATAATTATGCTTGCAACCACACTGACAAAAATGGAAAATAACACATCATGTGTGTCACCCTCCATCTTATTTGTTACCTGTAAAGCTTTAAAGAGCTTTGATCCTTTATTTGTAGCATTCTAAAATGATTACCAAGTACCCATTTGTTTGGGTAAATCTTAAATTGCAGAAATAAAAACTGCTTCGCTGAGCGCAGCTAGATACGCCCGCAGAGGTCCAACCCTGAACAGTTGGGGCAAAAATGGACACAATATTGAAGCTTGATTCAGGTCTGAATTTGGATTGTAATTAAATATTTGACATATTATAGGTTTCTGAATAAATGTAGTCAAAGATCTTGAAATTGGTTATATGAATTGAATGTATATTCAATTAAAGATTTCTTGCTGTTGTGCAATACTTGGTAAATCTGTTGTCAGACTATAAACAAATAAAGTTCAATTAATTCTCAATGTCATATTAGAAATTTATGAAAACAAAAAGGGAGCTTACATCAATAGATATAAACAATTCACCAAAGTTTCATGAGAATTGGTGACAGCATTTTTGAGTTATTGTCCGAAAACTGGAAAATCAGCCCTTTTTTTAATGAATAAAACCCCATAACTCAGAAACATAAAATGTAAAATTTATAAAATTCTGAAGGGAGCTTACATCAATACATACAAACAATTCACCAAAGTTTCATAAGAATTGCTGAAAGCATTTTTTAGTTTTTGTCCGAAAACTGGAAAATCCCCCCTTTTTTATGAATAAAACCCAGTAACTCGGAAACGTAAAATCTAAAATTTATAAAAATTGAAAGGGAGCTCATGTCAATAGATATAAACAATTCACCACAATTTCTTGCAAGTTGGTGAAAGCATTCTTGACTTATTGCCTGAAAACTGGAAAATCCCCCTTTTTTTAATGAATAAAACCCCATAACTCGGAAACGTAAAATCTAAATTTTATATAAAACGAAAGGGAGCTCACGTCAATAGATATAAACAATTCACCAAAGTTTTATGCAAATTGGTTAAAGCATTTTTGAGTTAATGTCCGACATGTTGACGACGGACAGACCGATGGACAGACGGACGGTTGGACGGACAGACGGACAACGGTATACCATAATACTTCCCGTAAACGGGCGTATAAAAATGTACAACAAATATACAAACTTAAGCATGCACTTGCTATGAAGTATTAATACTACCTATTTAAGTAACTTTACCAGGAATTCGTTCCCCTTGTAATGGATTAGTCAGCACCATGCCTAACTCTGTCATCCCATATCTCTCCAGTAATGTATGTCCACTAATCACCTTCCACTTGTCCATAACTGTCCTTGGTAAGGCAGCTGACCCTGATACCATCAATCTTAAGAAAAGTTATACTTTTTATTGAGCTTGTTAATCTAATGTAAACTTATTGATACTTTAAATAAACTTATTCTAAAATGTTATCAATTTAACACTAGTATGGTAATTAGATCTTGAATATCTTTTGATTGGTATAAATAGTGATTTTGTTATCAATAAATTAAAACAAAACTACCTTAAGTTAATATATCTTATAATGCAGCTATGAACATTCTGTCGATATCTACATGTATATTTTGGCAATGCACAAGATCATGTTTTCTCTGACTGTTTATGACATCTTTACACTAAATCCATTATATGTGTACTGATTGCTTTTTTAATCTTAGATATATGACTTTTTTATTTGTTTTTGGTTTGAACTAGCTTTCAGTAACTGTGAGTACTCTCAGACCTATACCTTGTGTCTCTAGTGTTTTTGTGTTTTGTATTGATCTGATGAGTAAAGCCCTTTTTAACTGATATTTATAGTTTGTTCATCTGTTGTGCTGTTAAACCACTGTCCCAGATTAGGGGTTGGTTGGACACCCACAAACATGTTTAACTCTGCCTCATTCTGTATGTGCCTGTCACCTAGTAAGGAACCTGTAATTCAGGGGATATCTTTTGTTGTTGTTTAACAGTATATCATATTTTTTTTCTTTTATTGTTGTGTAAATTTTGTTTTTGTGTTGTGCAGTTTCACCACTGTCCCAGATTAAAGAAAGGGTGCACCCAAAAACATGTTTAAGCCCGCCACATTCTGTTTGTGGCTGTCCCAAGTGGTTCTCATTTATGGCCTTACAACATATTTGTTTTTCCTGAATTGATTTGTACATAAATCTGGCCGTTGGTTTTCTTTTCTTGGTTTGAATTGTTTAGCATTTGTCATGTCTGGGCCTTTTTTAGCTTGCTATGTCAGTGTATGTTGTATGGGTTCTGCTCATTGTTGAAGGCCATACAGTGACAAATAGGTGCTAACTTCTATGTCAATTGGTATCTGTGGAGAGTTGTCTCATTGGCAATCATACCACATCTTTTTATTTTTATATATTGTTAATAACCTACATATTTCATCATATTGCTAATTTACTATTTAATTTATTATATATTGTGAATACCCTACTTATTTAGTCATATTGTAAATACCCTACGTATTTAGTCATATTGTGATTACCCTACTTATTTAGTCATGGTGTATACCCTACTTATTTAGTCATATTGTGATTACCCTACTAATTTAGTCATGGTGTATACCCTACTTATTTAGTCATATTGTGATTACCCTACTTATTTATAGTCATGGTGTATACCCTAGGCCAAAAAAAAATATATGTCTGTTTAAGGTTACATACTTTAAAAAAATAGGGTAGGTAGGTCGGTATTTCCATTTTATTTTATTTTTTCATTTTATTTTTTGTGACATGATTTTGAGTCATGCGGTTTCGTCTTGTCGTGGTCCGAGTTGATCACGGGCCGATTTTACCCATTATTTTAATGATTGGATTATTTCCCTTGGTTATTGGTTGGAAAAAAATGGCGGCAAAGTGTTTATTTCATCACACGAGTCGCGAACTTCCTTAAAACATTGGGATGTATCAGGCAATTGATTTATATTATTGGCAACACTAACTTCGCTTCTGAAACGAGTTCAGTTTATTTTTCACTTTACAATGGAAATAAAATGACTTAGAGTCGGCACTCAAAAGTAGGGTCGGTCAGGTAACCGTTAACAGACATATTTTTTTTTGGCCCTACTTATTTAGTCATATTGTGAATACCCTACTTATTTAGTCATATTGTGATTACCCTTCATATTTAGTCATATGGTGAATACCCTACTTATTTAGTCATATGGTGAATAACCTACTTATTTAGTCATATGGTGAATTCTCTACTTTTTTAGTCATATTGCAATTACCCTACTTATTTAGTCATATGGTGAATTCTCTACTTATTTAGTCATATTGTGATTACCCTACTTATTTAGTCATATGGTGAATTCTCTACTTATTTAGTCATATTGTGATTACCCACTTATTTAGTCATGGTGTATACCCTACTTATTTAGTCATATTGTGAATACCTTATTTATTTAGTCATATTGTGCATACCCTACTTATTTAGTCATATTGTGATTACCCTACTTATTTAGTCATATTGTGATTACCCACTTATTTAGTCATGGTGTATACCCTACTTATTTAGTCATATTGTGAATACCTTATTTATTTAGTCATATTGTGCATACCCTACTTATTTAGTCATGGTGTATACCCTACTTATTTAGTCATATTGTGATTACCCTACTTATTTAGTCATATTGTGCATACCCTACTTATTTAGTCATATGGTGAATACCCTACTTATTTAGTCATATTGTGAATATCGTACTTATTAAGCCATATGGTGAATACTCTACTTATTTTTTCATATTGTGAATAAACTATTTATTTTGTCATGTTATGAATAAACTATTTATTTTGTTATGATGTTGAGAATATCACTCATTGTATCATGATGTTAGTCCACTACTAATTTTGACATACCGGTATTGTGATTATTATCCCACTTATTTTCCTTTGTCAATAAAATACCAATCATTTTGTCAATGTAAGAGTGTCCCACTTATCATATCATGTTGAGAATACCAATCATTTTGTCAATGTAATAGTGTCCCACTTATCATATCATGTTGAGAATACCAATCATTTTGTCAATGTAAGAGTGTCCCACTTATCATATCATGTTGAGAATACCACTCATTTTGTGATGTTATGAATACTGCACTTATTTTGTCAGGTTTAAAGAATACTGTAAGGATAATCCATTGATTTCATCATGTTTAATCCTGATCTTGTTTCTTGGAAAACATCCACCTCCTCAATTCTCACCAAGACATTTTTGGAGAGTTTTTTTGTATTGTTAGGTTGCTGTTTCATTGATATATGTTCTAAATCCCCCTTAAATCACATCCACAAAAATTTAGCAGGTTTGTATGTTCTAAATTCGCCTTAAATCATATCAATAAAAATTTAACAGGTTCTTATGTTCTAAATCCCCCTGAAATCATATCCACAAAATTTTAACAGGTTCGTATGTTCTAAATCCCCCTTAAATCACATCCACAAAAATTTCACATGTTTGTATGTTCTTAATCCCCCTTAATTCATTTAACAAAAAATTTTAACAGGTTCGTATGTTCTTAATCCCCCTTAAATCACATCCACAAAAATTTCACAAGTTTGTATGTTCTAAATCCCCCTTAAATCATATCAACAAAAAATTTAACAGGTTCGTATGTTCTAAATCCCCCTTAAATCACATCCACAAAAATTTCACAGGTTTGTATGTTCTAAATTCCCCTTTAATCATATCCACAAATATTTTACAGTTTCCTATGTTCTAAATTCCCCTTAAATCATATCGACAAAAATTTAAAAGGTTTGTATGTTCTAAATCCCCCTTAAATCATATCCTCAAAAATTTAACAAAAATTTAACAAGTTCATATGTTCTAAATCCCTCTTAAATCAGATCCACAAAAATTTCACAAAAAGTTAACAGGTTCGTATGTTCTAAATCCCCCTTAAATCATATCCACAAAAATTTAACAGGTTGGTATGTTCTAAATCCCCCTTAAATCATATCCACAAAAATTTCACAAGTTTGTATGTTCTAAATTCCCCTTAAATCATATCCACAAAAATTTAACAGGTTTGTATGTTGTAAATCCCCCTTAAATCATATCCACAAAAATTTAACAGGTTAGTATGTTCTTAATCCCCTTTAAATCATATCCAAAAAAAAAAATAACAGGTTCAGTCAAAAGATAACTGATTTATACCTATACCAGCTAAATTACATGTACATTAAGTCTTAAGGAACACACTCTTAAATAATTAAGGCGCATGATGAACAGCAGCAATAAAAGTACTGTTTCTTTGATGTTTGTTAATTCCTAGTATGTCATGTGAAAGGCCCTGGCATGAAAATGAGTGAAAGCGTTTAGTTTAACTAACTTATAAAAGGGGCTGGAACTATTTTCTTTAACCATAAACATATAAGCATGTTCATGTTTTGGTCCTCCCTCTAAATGATCTAAAATTTGTAAAATTGATGCTAAAAACAAACATATTTAGTAGGAACTAGTATTATGATACAGGAAAGTTTATTACCTTATATTTTCACATGAGGCAGACAGGAATTGAGAAGCTAGTTGGTTCTCCTCTTCACTTCTTTCATAGTATTCTATCAACTTGGCATAAATTGTTGGCACAGCCATAAAAATAGTGATGTCTATTCCAGTCTTTCTTTTAACTGCAAGTTTCTCCCAAACCTAAAACAAAATAACTAGATAATTGAGTTGATATAAATCAATGCCAGTGAGTCCAATTTTTCATTACAGTCACGATAAAATATTAATAAATAAAATGCTTCGCTGAGGTCGAACCCTAAACAGTTGGGGCATATTTGGACACAATATTCAAGCTTGATACTGTCTGAATTTGGATTGTGATCAAATTTTTGACATAATATAGGTTTCTGACACAAAATAAATGTGGTCAAAGATCTTAAAAATCTATTGAAATTTTGAAGGAAAAAAAATATGAACCCCTTACAAAAATTGGAACCCCCCCCCCCCCAAACTTTTTGACCCCCCCCCTTTGGAGCAATTATCCCCAAACTCAATCCCAGCCTTCCCTTTGAGATTTGGAACCTTGTGGTACAATGTCAGAGAGATCCATACACTTACACACAAGTTATTGTCCGGAATTTACAACAAGAGTGCACATGCTGAAATGTCTCGCCTTCTTTACTAATCATTGATATTATGTTGATAGTCCTAAATATAAAGCTTTATTACAACTGTCACATAAACTTAACATTAACCAAGTAAACTAAACATTGACCAATGAACCATGAAAATGAGGTCAAGGTCAGATGAACCATGCTAGGCAGGCATGTACAGCTAACAATTCTTCCATACAACAAATATAGTTGACCTATTGCTTATAGTTTAAGAAAAACAGACCAAAACACAAAAACTTAACACTGAGCAATGAACCTTGAAAATGAGGTCAAAGAAAATAAAAAACCTGCGTGACTGACAAATAGATCATAAAATATTTCCATACATCAAATATAGTTGAACTATTGCATATAGTATTAGAAAAAAAGACCAAAACTCAAAAACTTAACTTTGACCACTGAACCATGAAAATGAGGTCAAGTTCAGATGACACCTGCCAGTTGGACATGTACACCTTACAGTCCTTCCATACACCGAATATACTAGACCTATTGCTTATAGTATCTGAGATATGGACTTGACCACCAAAACTTAACCTTGTTCACTGATCCATGAAATGAGGTCGAGGTCAAGTGAAAACTGTCTGACGGGCATGAGGACCTTGCAAGGTACTCACATACCAATTATAGCTATTACTTATAATAAGAGAGAATTTAACATTACAAAAAATCTTAACTTTTTTTTCAAGTAGTCACTGAACCATGAAAATGAGGTCAAGGACATTTGACATGTGACTGACGGAAACTTCGTAACATGAGGCATCCATATACAAAGTATGAAGCATCCAGCCCTTCCACCTTCTAAAATATAAAGCTTTTAAGAAGTTAGCTAATGCCGCATCCGCCGGATCACTATCCCTATGTCGAGCTTTCTGCGACAAAAGTCACAGGCTCGACAAAAATGCTTGTTTTTGGCCCCTTTTTGGCCCCTTATTCCTAAACTTTTGGTACCATAAACCCCCAAAATCAATCCCAACCTTCTTTTTTGTGGTATTGAACCTTCTTGTAAAATTTCATAGAGATCCATTCACTTAAACAAAAGTTATTGTCCGGAAACCAAATGTGTCTTCGGACAATGACGATGAGGCAGACGCAGAGGATGACGACAAAAAAGTTTCTAGATGGAATTAAAGCATTTCAAATTTAAATCATTGCACTCTATATGCTCTTAGTCAAACAATAGCTAGAAATCTTGAGTCTTGTATTAAATAAATAAATGGGGAATGTGTCCATGGGACACAGATGATGCCCCCGCTAGCATATCATATAAAGTTATAAAGGGACATAACTGAAGAACGGTAAAAGTGACACTACCCAAATTTGTACTTGATCTGTGTTTTGTGGTACTAAGCATTGTGTATAAGTTTCATAACATTTGGTTGAGGCAAACTTAAGTTAGAGAACGGAAACGAAAACTTCAGCAATTTTTCCCTTTGTTAAGGGGCATAACTCTAGAACAGTAAAAGTGACACCACCAAAATTCAAACTTGTTCTGTGTTTTGTGGTAATAAGCATTGTGTATATGTTTCATAACATTTGGTTGAGGCAAACTAAAGTTAGAGAACGGAAACAAAAAATTCAGCAATTTTTCCATTTGTAAAGGGACATAACTCTAAAACGGTTAAAGTGACGCCACCAAAATTCAAACTTGATCTGTGTTTTGTGGTAATAAGCATTGTGTATAAGTTTCATACAATTTGGTTGAGGCAAACTAAAGTTAGAGAACAGTAACCAACTTTGGGACGTACGTAGAGACGGAAAAGGGTAAAACTTAATGCCCCCTCCACTACAGCGGGGGCATAAAAATGTCTATCTACAGATACAGTTCCCTTTACCATGCTATCTACGCAAATAAACTAACCAGCTAAACATTTTTTTTAAGTTATCCAGGTTTAACAATGTTAAAATTAACACATCTTATTTTGTTTGATTGTGTCATAAGATGCAGCAAAAGTGCTTTTTATTTATGTAAATGAGACATAATCATCTATTTACAACTAAATTGATTTCATTTACATGTAGGTAAAGTTGTTATTTTTTACTTTCAAATTATTTGGTCAGTCCAATCACTTTAACTATGTCCAAACAGATACACTGTATTTGTACAACAGTACAAGATGTTGCTTATACGAAGTTGATTGTTTTCATATTTCTGACAGTCTGCTGTATCTCATATAAAAATGAACATAAGAAGATGTAGTATGATTGCCAATGAGACAACTCTCCACCAGAGACCAAATGACGTAGAAGTTAACAACTATTGGTCATTGTATGGCCTTCAACAATGAGCAAAACCCATACCACATACTGGTAGTTAGCTATTTCAAAGTTATCTTACCACTTTTTCATCAAATTTTGGCAACATAACACAGGTTGCCCCACAGTATAATGGTACCATTAATGCATTAACTACACCATGGACATGATGTAAGGGCAAAACATGTAATATCACATCGTTAGACGTCCATTCCCAAGCTGATATCATTCCTGTAATGTTACAGTGAATATTTCCGTAGGTCAGTACAACACCCTGAAACAAAATGGACAATATATTTAGACATTAAACAGCGCTTCATATGTCTGCCTTGAAAACATTTATAAGAATCAAAATGAACAATTGCAAGTAGAACCTGGCAATAATCATGAAAACTAAAGTTTCAATCATTATTTTCTGTAATTAAAATATTAGAGAAAAATTTGGGATACATCTTGTGCATTTGTTTTTGTGAAGATCTCAAATCAGATACATATATTTGATTAAAGTACCATTATACATTCATTGCTCTTGTTAGGTCCAGAGATCTTATAATAAGTATACATGTGAGACCCAGGTATCTTATAACAGGTATACACCTGTGAGTATATGTATTTGGTTAAACGGTCATGCATTATGACTTTTTTTATTGAAAAGTTTAATATTACATGTTAACTAGAAGTTCTGTTCTTTAAATACCTAATGAACATCAGAAATGAAAATCATTCAAAAGTGATAACTGCTCTCCAATAAGAAACCAGTTGAAATAAATAAAAAAAAACAAGCATTCTGAGAGTATTGCATGGCAATACATAGTCCCCTACCGGTTAAAAATTAATTGTACTGGAACAAAATGCTAACTTGATCTGTAACTTGTCATGGTGTAAACTATATAACAAATATCAAGTCAATATCTTCAAGCATGACGAAAAAAAGTGTGGAAAACTGATAATTTAAGTGAATTTTCTAAGTCCAAGGACCATAACTCTGCAAAAAATCATCAAACCGAAACAAAATTCAAACTTGGTCTGTATCTTGTCATGATAAAACTATATACCAATTATCAAATCAATATCTTCAAGCATGACGAAAAAAAGTGTGGAAAACTGATTATTTGAGTGAATTTTCTAAGTCCAAGGACCATAACTCTGCACAAAATCATCAGACCGGAACAAAATTCAAACTTGATCTGCAACTTGTCATGATAAAACAATGTACCAATTATCAAATCAATATCTTCAAGAATGACCAAAAAAAGTGCGGAAAACTGAATATTTGAGTGAATTTTCCAAGTCCAAGGACCATAACTCTGCACAAAATTATCAGACCGGAACAAAATTTGAACTTGATCTGTAACTTGTCATGATAAAACAATATACAATATATCAAATCAATATCTTCAAGCATGAAGAAAAAAAGTGTGGAAAACTGATTTGCCGGACTGACAGAAGGACAGACAGACAGACAGACAGACAGACAGACAGATGGATGGAGTGCAAACCTAAAGTCCCCATCGACTTTGTCGGTAGGGGACTAAAAAACTTCTTACAGAAAGGAAAGAGAGACTACTCTTACATTACAAAATAAATTGCTTCAAAGAGCGCAGCTGGATACGACCGCAGAGGTCCAACCCTAAACAGTTGGGGCAAAAATGGACACAATATTCGAGCTCAATACAGGTCTGAATTTGGATTGTAATTAAATATTTGACACATAATAGGTTTCTGACACAGAATAACTGTAGTCAAATAACTTAGAATTGGTTATATGATTTGAATTTATATTCAATTTTTTGCTTTTGAGCAATACACTATGCTGTGGCGAATTAAACCCCTCCCCCCCCAAAAAAAAATTTTTTTTTACCCCCCCCCCCCCCCTTTTTTTTTGCTTTTGTGCAATACACTATGCTGTTGTGAATTGCCCCCCCCCCCCCCCCAATAAATTTTTTTTTTTTATAATTTCAGAAATCTGAAATGAGAAAAAAAAAAATGTCCCCCCCCCCCCCAATTTTTTTTTCACCTCCCCCCCCCCTTTTTCAAAAAAAAATTCTTTCCCTCAAGATATCATTATTATGGTCATTATTTCAATTCAAATTTCCAATGGAGTTTGCAACCATAATTACCCATTTAAATACATCATAAAAGTCTTAAAATAGAAAATGACATACATAATCATGTCTAAAATTAATATTCCTTAATCAGCATTTTTAATAGTAACTTCTAAAAATAAATTGACAGCTTATCACCTCAAGACAATACAACATTACTTTATACATAATTCAAAAGCAGTGTAAGGGAGGTAATCCAAACACAAAACATTGTACTTAAAAGTAATTGTCCAATAACAAGGAAACCCTTGTTTTTCCCCCTTTTTTGCCCCTAATTCCTAAACGGTTTGAGCAATTACCCCCCAAAGCCAATCCTAACCATCCCTTTGTGGTTTGGAAACTTGTGGTATAATTTCAGAGAGATCCATACACCATTCCACAAGTTATTGTCTGGAAACGCGAAAAATACTTATTTGGACCCATTTTTGGCCCCTTATTCCTAAACAGTTAGGACTATAACTCCCAAAATCAATCCCAACCTTCCTTTTGTGGTTATAAACCTTGTGTTAAAATTGTATAGATTTCTATTCACTTATACTTAAGTTATTGTCCGGAAACCAAATGTCTTCGGACAACGCTGACAAAGACGACAACGTGATACCAATATAAGACCGCAAAATTTTTTGCAGTCGTATAAAAACTGTTGACTATTATCATGATTAAAGGTGGGTAACATTGAAGGAATTTATAGTTCTGTTTCCTGCCTCCTTACCTACCCTAAGTTTTCATACCTACCCTAACTCATTTTATAGACATTTTTTGGTTAAACACTGTTAAAGTCCAAAATATTTCTCTACATGTATGTCTATATGTAAAATATTTTAACAAATGGAATTATATTACCTTTCTACCTCTCTCCTATTTTGTTAAGTCAGGAGGCAGGAAACAAATATATATTTATTTGGGCTTACTATCTATTCTATGTACCTTTGGTCTCCCTGTGGTTCCACTAGTATATATAATCAAGCATGACTGGTTTTTATAATGGTTATGTTTTACCAGATTTTTACAATCTAAACTCATATGTCGATCAATAAACCAAGCGTTCTGGTCTGCTTCGTAATATCCTGTATAGTTTTCCTTCTCTAATACTCGGAGTGGAATGCTTAATTTTTTTGTTATAGGTTCTACTTTATGAAGGTGGTCTGCTGTGGTTAAAACTATTGAACATTGTGCATTTTGGATAACATATTCTAATTCATTTTGTGGATGACTTTTACAAAGTGGGACTGCCACACCTCCTGCCATCCATGTGGCCCATTGTGCCACAACATAAGATACATCATTGTCACATAGGAATGCCACATGGGTGTTTTCTGGAAGAGATTCATTCTTGCTATTACCATTGACTTGTTCTATAATTTCCTGTGAAAGTGTTTTACTATAATGTAAAATATCCTGATATTTAAAGCTACCATGTTGGTCTATTATTGCAACTTTGTTTTGATACTTCTCTGCTTGAAGAAAGACAGGCTGTGGCAGATCTTTTGTGGCTTGGACACTATAGTACCTGTGAAAACATCTTCTGCATATATTTGAGCTTATTGCTTTTGTTGCTTGTGACACAGATATAAGTGATCTATATGAACCACTGATCTTCACCATAGAATAAATTCTTCTGATAAACATCCTGAAAAAAAAACCATATATAGTTATTTACATACAAATCATCTACGATTTATCACACATTTAGATGTATATATGCATAACAAAAATAAGTATCGTTTTTGTACATGTGTATGTTCTTCTGTGTTTTCTCAAATTGTGGCTTTTGTATTCAACCCCCACCGCTATAGGTATCTCCTCCCTTTTTCTGAACATTTAATTTTATTCTACAAATGATAATTGGTATACATGTGACAGACAATGTGTTAAGAATGAAACTATTTACCAATGCAATATTAAAGAGGTTTATTTCAATGTAGTACCATATCACATTCAAGAACTTAGATATTTGACTCAAAACCTTTTTTTCTTTGAATAAGTTGATTTTTAAACTTTATGTCCCAATTTCTTTGCTTTGTATATTTTGCATACAGTGCTGAAAATTGCATGTTTTAAAGGTGAAAATATTTGCATCATATTTTTCTTGTTCCTAGTTACATTAATTAAGTTACAATAATAACAAAGACAAAAACACTGTATTATATAAGGTATCATTGGATTAACCATTCATCATTATTTATCATGTTTTTAGAATAACTAAAAATTCAACAAGTAAAATAATCGGACATGTTTCACATGTGAAATCATTTTGAATTTAACTGGGAAATCACAGTATTTCATTGCAACCATTGTAATAAACTTGCTTAAATATGCCATGTACATGTATGCAATTAAGGATGATACTTATTTGAAATTATTTGCATGTTGAAAATCTATTGGGGGATAAAAAAACAAAATTTTCTACATTAAAGTTTAGCATGTTTAGTGCAACAAATACTTTTCTCTGCAATAAAATTTAGTACAATAAATAAATGTATGCACAGCTTTAAAAACAATCATTAACCTTTAGTTGTAAAATTGCCTTGTCATGCTTGATATGCTTAGAACTGGCAGACAAGCTGGTTTTTTTTTTAAACATGTTAAACATTTGTTAAATTAACCATAAAAAAAAAAATTCTTGAGTTGAGACAGTCAGATATGGTTCTTTAAAATAGCCAGGTGTTTTTTTCAAGGTACTGGCTACGATTAGGTTGAAAACATAAATAACGAAAAATTATTGTTACATCATTCATTTTTTGTCATTGTACATTTAAGACTATAATCATGATAATTATAGGAATGCAAGGTAGGGTTAAGAAAAGATTAATTACAGACATAATAATAAGATTTGTGTCTACAGTTACATCGCGTTATTGTTACGTCAAAGCATTTTGATGCATATATATGTATGTAATATATATTACAATAACTTGAAAACCCTGTTAGTCTAAATTAATTCAATTATACAATATCGCATATCCATACATCATATGTTTCCAACAAATCTTTTAGACGAAAACATGAATATTTTGAGGATAAAAAAGTACTGTTCATTTGAAGCATGGCAGTCACTGATAGATGGTTTTATGTCCAAAGTTGTGCAAACTGATGTGCACATTGCGAAATGCATTGACATAACAATAACATAAGGTGACTGTAGACATAAATACTATTGTTACGTCTGTAATCAATCACTCAGTTCCTAACTGGACCAACCTTGCATTCCGGCAATTAGTCTTAAAAGTAACAATAATGTTTTGTTATTGTTATATACCATGTATACGTTTCAACGTAACCGTAGCCAGTGCCTTATTTCATCCATTTAAAATAAATTCAAACTCTTTTGTTCACAACATTACTAAATAAAAATCATGTATAACATTTTCACTGAAATCATAAATATGTTTGGCATTTCACAATATGAGACTTCTATTTATGATTTGTTTGCACATGTAAATGTAAACATTTATATGAATACACAAATTAAGGTTTCATTCACTTTCCAAATAATACATGTAATATGTGTCATGTGTACTTAAAACAAAATTGAGAAAAAAATTTATCTTTCATCATGTTCATTTTGTTTTTAGGAAGTCGAAAAATAAACTTGCATAAAGGATTCCATTTCATTCTGGAGTAGCAACTCTTAAAAACTTTTTTTATTTAACATATAATAGTATAGTAGAGTAAATTTATAACAATTTTAAAAGTAACATTTTAATCAGTTTTCAGTATTTCAATTATTTCATGTTGAAGATAAAAGAATTTGCATGCTTAGTTTTATTAGTAAACAACAGATGTTGATTTTAGTGTCTTTAGTAGAAGTAGTTCAGAAAAGTAATTAATTGTAATTAATTGTTTATTTCACATGTTATTGACCACTACATGAGACGTTAAAGATTTTTATATGAATATGTTCTGTCAAATTCAGCATTTCCATTTGGTAATTAAAAGGTCAGAGGTTTGATACATAAGATAAATTTAGAATATTAAGTAATAGGCTAAAGGGTCAGTTAAATTAATTATAGAGTTAGGTCTTAAGAGTTTTGATTCACTTGGAGAATTGTATTTGTCATATAAACATCTATTGCTGGAATTATATATTATTGTGAATCTGTTTGATATGAAATATTATGGATGCATCACATATGTTTAATAAACAATTATATTATATAATGGAGTACCTTATATATGTGAGTTAGTGAACCAAGACAGTACCCCCATATCTCAAACACTTCTTATAGGAGTAAAAGCCCACTCCTACATAAGCCTGTATAACTTTATATCAATATTTTAGGTGTATTATATGAATGTCATGTAAAATACTGTATGTTGTAATGATTATGTGTGTATGCCCCCCTGGGGACCTAATTTGGAAAATAAAATATCTTAATTAATATAATAATAATTAATAATAATATTTTATTCAATAAAATATCAACCATATGAGTTTTACAATACACAATATACAATACATAAAGACAATACTAACACATACTTCGTAAAATATAATGGCAGTTTATGAGTGTAGTACCCTTAAGTGTATTGGAAAAAAATTGCTGATATTTTATCAGGGATAACCCATGAAAGCTCTATTAGGCTTGTTTCCAATGGGGTCCCTTCATGTAAACGGCTTGATAGTTTCGACATACAAAAAATGATAACACACAAATCAATATGACAAAAATAAAATTCATATAAAAGATCATAAAAATAATTTAAATAAATAATAAGTTTAATAATATATTATATCTTATCATTCTTAAAAATGCAAAAGTCATGATCTAATTAAGGGCATGGGGCCAGGCTAGTGCAAATAATTATGCGTTATGTGGGGCTTTTTGATAATATTGTTGGACACCTTCCTTCAATGTGTAACAGAAAAATCAAAAATAACCTTTGTAGTCATAAATTTATCATTTGGACTAGGGCCATACTAGATAAATTAGTATAAATATAAATGTCATAACTTAGTTTAACATGTCTTGTGTATGTAGCTAAGGAATCGTGTAAGTAAGTCAGCTAGTTTACCTAAGACAATAAAGAAATTCAAGTAAGAGATTGTGTATAAGAGTATGCAGTAAAACAATCGTTATCAGCAGTTTTTGCTGCTCCAAATATTGACATCAATGGGCGCAGCCATATTGGATTATTCCATTTTAAAATTTTTAAAATTTGGAAATTGTTGGTATTATAACTTGCATGTGGAAAACTTCAGCTTTCAAACAAATTTAAAAAAAAATTCCATTGAATTGATCCACAAAATGATAAAAAATATAGGATATCAATATCAAATGGACCAGTCGGGGTTTAAGTGGAGATAACTCTATTTGATGATGTGGACCATGTGAAGCTGAAGTTTTTAAAGTATATATTAGTATATAGATCTTGTGCCCACGTGTATTTGCATGCTATATTCAAGAAAGAAAACACAAATTAAGGGAACCAACCAAATTTAACAAAGTACACTTTTTCAATAAAAAATGGCGCAATTTTTTAATTTTGATATTTATTTTACATGTAGTCAGGTAGTTTTGCAGGTAGGGACCAGTATTAACCAGAGTTAATTAAGTGCAAATTCAATGAGATTAAAATTTAGGGTCCTGTATGCTTGCCTTTTTGCTTGCAAGGATCTGACACACATGACACATCTCCCTTACTTTCTGCTTCAAAGTCCTTTTTTTCACATGTTTTATATAAAAATAGGATCTGGAACAGTTATATATCTATGTCAATATATATGTTCCTAATAGGATGTAAAGTAGTCCAACTAATTATGATGTCTTGAAAGGCTATTTTATTTTCGATGGCGTCAAAGCAAAAAATAAAATAGCCTTTCAAGACGTCATAATTATTTGACTAGTCTCATCATGTAAAGATGCACACCTTCAAAGAGTTGCAGGTAGAACATCACAGGCACTTGTTTCTATCCATGGGAAGGTCCACCATCCATATGTAATAGAATATATGTTCTCTAGTTCACATATATAGCAAATCCCAAATTACATGAATTAGTATTTGTATATATATTAAAATGAAGTATACTATTAGGGGGAGGGTTGGTCGCCCACTAACATGTTTAACCCCGCCACATTCATTACGTGCCTGTCCCATCAGGAGCCTGTAATTCAGTGGTTGATGTTTGTTTCTGTATATCATATTTGTTTTTCGTTCATTATTTTGTACATAAAATCAGGCCGTTAGTTTTCTCGTTTGAATAGTTTTTACATTTGTCATTTTGGGGCCTTTTATAGCTGACTATGCAGAATGGGCTTTATGGGTAAATATGACTGTTTGGAAGATCTTAATCATTACCTGCAAATATCTCAATGTAAAATTCAAGCCCATTAATTTTAAGTATTAAAAGTAAACACAAAATGGTATTCAGGTATTGTTAATTTAAAAAATTCTATTTGACTTTAAATATTTTTAAATAGTTATTAATAAATAATAACTAGACATGCTAGATTAGCACTGGTCATTTGTTTTATAAATGAGACACCAGCTCACCATTTCAAGATTAACTCTGCATTGGAAACACTGCCAAAGAGAATGTGTTTTCTTTCTTGTACTGCATGTATACTAATTTTGTTTACTAACTAACATGCATGACTAATGGTAAACTGAATAATATTGATTTTTTAATGTTTTTGTGAAAAATGCATTTGTGTTGTACCGACATCTAGTTTTAAACAAACTTTCAAGCTAACAAAATGAAATGTTCAATATTTTTGTTTAATTTCTGCATCATGTGCATGTTCTATTCCTCATTAATTTATTTGACAAAGAAAAAACTAACTGTCCAAAAAGATAGAAGAGTTCTTTTACATGTGTACTAAATTATTTAACTAAGTTATCGTACTTGTATACAGTGGCTAAACCAATGAACGAGAACAAAAGAAAATTCACTCGCCTTATGAGAAAATCAACAGTAAAACAATGCCGGTGACGATACTGATCAAAAGTTATTTCTAAACAATAATCATGATAATCGTACATTTTAAGGAAATTATTTGTTTGACTGTGTTATTAGAAACAATAATATACATGTACATGGAAAGACACAATGTCTTATGTTTATTATTTACAGCGATAATTGCATTAGAAGCTTGTGAAACTGAAATTTAAAAAATTTAAATCTTTGCTGCATTTTGATAAAAAAAAATTTGGAAAAAATCATGAACATACAAAATCTTTTAAGACCTTTCAGTATGTTAAGGTCAAAAATATTCTGAGTGTTCCACATAGTACTTAGCATTTTACAATTTCCCCAAAAATACCTTTTTTCACATCTTAACTTTTGGAGTACACCAGTCTGCTCTTGTCACTTGAACTTTCCATATAGAAATATTGTCTTTTTCGTGAATATAACAATTTAAAAGTCATGTATGTCATGTATGTGCAGGTTAAAAAATTAAAGATAAATATTTTTATAAAGTAGGTTATCTGTTAAAATATTTTTACCATGCCTTATACAATTCTAAGAAAAGATTGTCTCAATTTGGATTATTTCTGTACATGAATTTGTGGTCTTCTCGATCTATTCACTTTCAATGTTTACATCCGGATAAGGTCTGCTTGAATTTGCTTAGTAACTTAATTTGGAAAGTGTTAATCTTTACTGCATATCAGTCGATTCCATTGGAAATTTTTCCCTGAACTTCTCTGATCTAGCTGCATACATATACAGATAATTGGGTTTTCCAGAGAGGTATACAGGCAATAATATTTTTTTTTGAGGTTGGTACTCCTGAAATTTATTCGCATATAGCAACATTTTAAACCAATTTTACAGAAAGCTCCTAAAGCCTGTTGTACTCATCGTTTGCTACTTTAGGAGGGAAATGGTAACTTTATATGAAAATTTATCCTGCAATCAACATTTCTTCTATACATATACAGGTTGACAGATAACGTGAAGGGATAAATGTATAGTGTAGGTTTATAGTCTCCTGGTATCCCACTTCTGTAGTGAGCAACCGGTTATATATATTCAAATTACTGTTTAGGTCCCAGTTCAATTTGGGGTTCTCATATGCAGTCTGCATTTACACATGTTGATTTCATTAAAAAAAAAATTCAGCTGTTCGGAAGTAAAAACATCTATACTTTTACATGTTTTAAGGACAAAATTGTTAAATTGTAGGATAAAAACAATATTCGTACATTGTCATGATTGTAGGAAAATATAAAATGTATAAATTTGTACGAAACAGAAGAAAATCTCATTGAGTTTTGCTTTTCTCTCTGTTTCTAAAGCTCATTTAAATAAATTTTATAGTTTCCTACAATGTACGGATGTTGTCTATTTACATTCTTAAAATATATGAATTTGAACAAACTTATAGATATGTTAATTACAGTTGATAAATACATGTACTTATGACTTGACATGCTAGATAATTGAGTTGGACATTTTCCTCGACGATTATGATTTATTATGAAGATAGCATTTTCTCATACATCTTGCATACATGTATATGTTGCTGCAGAAAGAAATATACCAGTATGTATAAACAGCAGTGGTGTTATACTTTTGCATGTTTCCTATCAAATTTAACAATATAGCAGTCTTCATGATGAACTTTAAAATCTACAGGCCCAGAGCTCAATTTTTGGAAAATTTTAGTTAGTTTCTGTTGGCCTGTAGATATGATTTTTGCTGTGGCCCGAGAGCAGTTTTACAAACCTGGGCTGCTGGGCCTGTGGTTCAGTGTGAAGACTGATATAGTGAATACAAATGAACATGATGAAGGTTTTAATGTAAAATATAAACAATTCATGGCCATTAGCTTGGCTGATTATAAAGAATTGTGGAATAATACTGCCTACATCATGACCAACTGGCCTAGGTGGAAAATTTGATTTGATTTGAGGAGATAGGGCAACTCACTAGACTTGTAATGTGACAATGTAAATTAAATCTGATACAGTTATTTTTCACATGTTCATCACATTTATCCTATAGTTAACATTGAATTGCAAGAACAAAAGTTTAATTATGACAGGGTCCAAAGGTCATAGGATGAAATAATAAGTATGGTGTACAACACATCATCGCAATGGCCTTTTCAATCCGACTCAGGTTTAATATTGTCATGATCTGACATGATGATTATCTCGATTTTAGATTCTGGTAAGATGGTGTGGTAGAGAATTATGGGTAAGAAAGATGCAGCTGGCGTAAGGGCAGGTCCAGTAGACCAGTATAGGAAACAGATAGGTAAATGATGACAACATTATTGTCATGATCATAATATTTTTGTATCTCTGAACAAAATTAGACATGTGACACATTTGGTTTTATGTCAATGAGACTAACAATACAATAATATTAATCTCTTCACAAAACATTAAACAATTGTAAAAATGGCAAGTCAGGACATTGGTATAAGACATGTTGGAGGCTGGTACCAAAGAAAATGTAAAATGTATAGTTGAAGTTTTTTTATACCCAGTAGTTTGAAGTTTTTTTATACCCAGTAGTTTGAAGTTTTTTTTATACCCAGTAGTTTTGATTGTAAGAAAAAGGATTGGTCATTTAGGGAATTTTGCACATTGTTGCATGTTTTATGAAAATATAATTTCATCTTCAATGTTCATTTTGCATATGTTCTACTGGAATGCTGAATGATCGAGAAAAAAGGGAGAAAAAGCTCTAAAGGAATTGTCATGGCTATATATATGTTGAAACAGTTTTTAAAGGGCTCATCAATCTACATCTTCTTATCCTGATCATTGGAATAACAAAAAGTATCTATAGACAGTCATCATGGTCAGGGGAATTCCTTAAATTACTGACTAGATGACCGGTCATGTCAGGTGATGACCTTGTACTGAATTTGGGATAATGACATGAAAATCACTTGTTTAAGTATCATACTGCCAGTCAGGGGTACTACTTGTACACGTAATTTTTATTTACTTGAAGAAGTAAATATTAATATACTTATATAAGTTAATTTGTAGGATACTTATACAAGTGTATTTTATTTACTTGTATAGGTAAACAAAGATTGGGCTTAGTTATGTCCCTTAGACATTCAGACTTTTTTACTTATACAAGTAAAAAAGTCATCCTATCTTCTTTTCTTGAATTCTTAGGACTTCTTTGCTCTCATAGAATTTTTGATTGTCTGTCCTTTGCAGATGTCTTTACTTATCATTTAAGTGTAATTTCATGGACAATGAAAATCTCATTTGTCTGTTATCTTCAGAACACTGCTCATTTACAAGCCCCCAAGGGGCAATTTTGAAGGCCTTTTGCAAATACTTAAGATCTTTGGGCAATCAGTTTCTTTGTTGAATTAATGAGATGAAACATTGAACTCTAATAAAAAATTATGAGCTAACCTGAGAAAAATTGTTAAAGGCATGTTTTTACATCTCAAAACTTGAGAATTTTTGTGGGATTGTAAAAAAAATTTACTTATACAAGTAAATTTTTGAGAAAATTAAGGGGAGATTATTGAAACATTATAATTAACTTATATAAGTTTATTTTATTTACTTCTTCAAGTAAATAAAGATTACTTGTACAAGTAGTACCCCTGACTGACTGCCATGACTGCTGTCAATTTTGTCCAAAAAAGTCACTTCTTTTAGATTTATTTTATCAATTGCCCCCCACTATTTTCAACACCCCTGAATAGTTAAATTTTGGTGGCAAGCAGTAAAATTTTATCACAAAACCTGGAAGCTGAAACCTGGAATTTTACAGGAAAAGTACTCCCACCTGCCCACTGCTGGGAAAATCTGTAAAGAAAGTTAGTAAAAAACTGTCTTAGTACTGTCTGATTAATATTTAAAGCCTTCATTATAGCATTTTATCAACAAATTTATAATTTACAGATGAATGATTGCATCAAAGGCATAAACCTTGCTACTTACATGACTTAAAAGAAGCAAAAGGTCTATTTTTTCAATATTACTCAACATAAGATATAATCTAAACCTGTATGTTTAAAATTTTGGTAAAAATACAAACTGACAGAAAATTTAATTTGCTACTTAAATGAGTGATTTAAAAATCACTTATTTCAGTAATTCCTAACTGATAGAAAACATAAAAAATATTCAATGAAGCAGAAAAAAAAAGAAGATAAGAAACACTACTTCACCCTATGTTAATATGGATATTACCTGTGCTCTGATAAAATAATTATACAAATGCTTTCTGTATTGCATTGATTGCAGAAAGCAAAAAGGTATCAAATCTTTTGACATTCATCATGTACATGACATTGAAATCATGCTATCTTACCCTTTAATATTGGTGGCTGTGCTTCTGTTGTAGAAAGGTATGCTGTATTTGTTATACCGGTACATCATTATGCACTTTACATGTATGTACATGTTTTATAGCGGACTATGTGGTATGGGTTTTACTCATTGTTGAAAGCCTTATGGTGACCTATATATAGTTGTTAATGTCTGTGTCATTTGGTCTCTTGTTGAGAGTTGTCTCATTGGCAATCGTACCACATCTTCATGTACATGTATTATGTTACAAAAATTAAAAGTCTAATTTATTTACATTCACATGCCCTAATTCATTGTTATTTTACATGTTGATTGTTCAATTCTTAGAGACCAGGCAGTAAGTGAGGTAAAAAAAAATTTGGCAGAAAGCAGAGTTGAGAACTGGTCTTCCTAGAACATCCTATGGATCTGCCCCAGTGGAGTGAAGCCTTAGGTGTTGTTTTTTTTTTCTTTGGCGAACATGTTATTTAGTCAAACATTCCTTATTTTTGAATTTTCAGAGAAATTCTTCATGCATCAATGCATAATTCTTTCCACAAAAATCAATTTAATTTATTACAAAACAAGCGTAAAAAAACTTTACAGTAGTTTTTCAAAAGTATACATTTAATATATCTCAATCTTTATTTTGATCATTCTGTCTTATTACATGTATGTATCTGTATGCATGTTTTTTTTATGTTTATACATGTAACTGTGTAATATGGTTGACTTAGCTAAATAATAGCTCACATGACACTTCTCTAAATTTGTTATTGAACTTTCAAATATGGTACATACTCAAAAACAATATCTGGAAAATTCATCTAGTCGATTAAACATGTTAAAATGAAGTTATATTTACAGGAAAACAAGATTATAAGAAAAGTAAAAAAGAAATAAAGAGTCAGAAACAAAGAGCAGAAAAGAAGAAATCTGCCATTGGTGTAAAGGTAAATTAATCATGAAACAAGATATGTGAGGTTTACATCAATGAGACACTGACAGCAACCCTGAAACAAGAGATATGAGGTATGCATCAAGGAGAGCTCAACCCATAAACATGTTAAAGAAGAGATGCAAGGTATACATCAATGAGATAGTAACCTTAAACCCAATAAAATTAGAACAAAAATATATAGGCAAGGTATATATCAATGTATATCATGTATATGGTCTTTTATCATGTCAATAATAGACAAGTTCCTATACCATGTATACCAAATGTCAAGCTATAAATTGTCCTGAGTCTACAGCATGGTCACAGCATTACTTAAACAAGTAACTATCATCATTACCTATGCAATTTATGTTGAAAATAATGCTCTTTTGATATTACTTAAATGTAAGTTACTTTTGTAAATTTCATATACCTGTATACTTAGGTGTAAATTCCACTATCTTAAACAAAGTCTTTTGAAAGCAGTCAGAGCTCTGACATAAACAAGTCAGAATAAAATGACTTCTTCAAGTCAGAAAGTGTTTTGAAATTCTGACCTGTACGCGTCAATTTTTTGTTTTGCGTAGTTTCACTCGAGTCCGTCAAACCAGAAGTTATTTTGAATTTGCCGCCGATCTACGACACATACGATCACGTGGTTTTTTGCAAGAGATCACGTGTTTGAGAGTCGTTGTTTTGGAAGTGTCTCGAACGAGAAATCATTGAATATTATATTGATTATTTACGATTTTTAGTGAAAATCTAGGTCATTGTGGGCATTTTTAGATAGGTAATTCATATTACCTCCGTATTTTCATGGGCATTTTTATATTTTTTGCCTATTAAGAAGTTCCTTGCAAGTGATTTTTTTGCTGTTTCATGAAGGCGCGCGACCTGTAAATACGGACGCGTGGTCTTTGAGATGACCTGGTGTTTGACAATTCTGACTTGTTCAGGTCAGAAAATGTTGTTATGATAATGAATTGTTATTTTCGGGAGATAACTCGTGTTGTCTTAAACAATATTAACATTATTAACCAGTCAGTGCAATTTAAAAAGTAAAATTATTGCTTCGAGCTGAACATCGTCACGTGATTTTTCTATTTTTAAACTCAATCACGAATTGATTTTTTAAGAGGGTGGTAAAGGGTTATTTTCGTGCAACGTGATCGCCGTTTTTTATTCCACGTTCAACGTGTTTTTACTTTTTTATTTAACGTTCAGTCGTGCAAGACAGGTGCCTCGTTCAACGTGTTCTGCTTATTTAATTTTACGTGCATCGTGATTTTCAAATGCTTATTTTGCGTGCTCGGTATTTTTCAAATAAAATTCAAATACTTGGCAGGGATCGTCAAGAAATACTTTTTTAAAAGCCGTAAACCATTTACATCATAAATGTGTATACTAAATCGGGAATAACAAGTAAAACAGAGAGTTTATATAAAAGAAGACAGTGACTAAATCACAAAAGGTTCACAACAGTCTATTTTTCGTGCAACGTTCATGACAGAAATTATTTCACGTTCAACGTGAAATTATGTCTTATTTCACGTTTTTTCCGTGCAAGCACCCCCCCTTTACCACCCTCTTTTAACCTTTCTGATTCGTTTCTCCCTATGAGAAAAACGGTCATTGTGAATATTGATATGATGATAATGAAACGAAAATGGGAAAAATTTTAATAAAAGAAAAAGGAAGGGAGGGGTTTAACTAAAGAACCCAAGGGTTTTTTTTTTTATTTTTAAAGTTATAACTTGAGAACAATAAGTGATGCACACAAGTGGTCTTCATTTATGATCATGGGACATGATAAAACAAATCAAATGAAATGTAGGGCAAGTCTCCAGGGATCACCCCTATCCCTGTGATTTCTCTAGTCCTCTTTATAACTTTATAATGTCAAATAAACGTATTTACACTTTTGGTATTTAGCTATATTTTGCCTCCGAATGACCTTAGATCTACTCCGAATCACCTTTTGACGTCAGGCAACAATCACTTTTTAATTGTGACGTCAAATGTTTTGAATTATGATGTCAAAGTTTACGGGAACCTGTGTGATTTTACGTAATGGCGGACAAATTTGCATACAAGTGTAAATACGTCTATTGATTTGAATGAAATATACCGGGCTAGTCTCCAGGTTTACCCCCACCCCCTGCCATTTGCAAATGTTCTTATATTTTGTAAACGGTAGAGATCCCCACCCCTAAACCATATACATTCTTGTATGGGACAATTTAACAAATCAAATGATATGTTGGGGAGGTCCCTGGGGGTCACCCCTACCCCTCCTGTTTGAAAACTTGCAAACGGTCGAGATCCCCACCCCTAAACCATATATTTTCTTGAATAGGACAATAAAACAAATCAAATGAAATATAGGGGAAGTCCCTTGGGGTCACCCCCACCCCCTCCTGTGTGAAAACTTGTAAACGGTCGGGATCCCCACCCCTTAACCATATATATTCTTGTAAGGGTCAATAAGACAAATCAAATGAAATAAAGGTGAAGTCCCTGAGGGTCACCCCACCCCCTCATGTTTGAAAACTTGTAAACCGTCGAGATCCCCACCCCTAAACCTTATACATTCTTGCACAGGAAAATAAAACAAATCAAATGAAATATAGGGGAAGTCCATTGGGGTCATCCCCATCCCCCTTTTTGAAATGTTCTGGATCACCACCGCTAAAGGTAAACCATATGATATTCCTGTTCGTCATTTCAAGAAGATTTGAATGACATGCAGGGTCAAACCCTAGGCGTCACTTATGCATAACACTTTACTAGACAAAACCAATTTGTACTGGAACTTGCCCAATGTCAGGCAACCATGGGAATGACGAATTATGGGAGCTTTTTTTTTTGGAGACTTCGTAACAGCATCCTGTTACAATTATTTCTTGTTTATTTTAATCTGCTGAGAGACCACCTTAATTTACATATTATATTTATCAGTGTTTGTGCAAACAGAATTGTCTATTCAGTATTATTTTCCTCTCACATGCATCACATCTTATTAATTACATGGATATAGGAAGATGTGGTATGAGTGCCAATGAGACAACTCTCCATCCAAGTTACAATTTATAAAAGTAAACCATTATAGGTCAAGGTACGGCCTTCAACACGGAGCATTGGCTCACACCGAACAGCAAGCTATAAAAGGCCTCAAAAAATTACTAGTGTAAAACCATTCAAACGGAAAAACCAACGGTCTAATCTATATAAAAGAAAAATAAAAATTTTGGCATATTTGTTTTCCTCTGAAATTACACATCTATAATTCTTACCCCAGATGCTTAGCCACATGAAGCATTTACCTCTTATTTGAGACATAGATAGTCTTTGTTTCTACAGAAGTGAGAAGAACATTGGAAGTCAGAATGTTCTGACTTATAAAAGTCTGAATGTTCTGACTTAATAAGGTCAGAAAGACTCAGAATGATCTGAAAATACTGACTTTTTTTAATGTTTAGAGTATTTTAGAATATGAATGCACTTGTCATGCTAGTACCATAAGAAACCCTGACAAGATTTTGTTCCCTAACAACAATTTTTAAAGATATTAAGAATAACAAGTGTACAATGGAACATAAATTACAAAGTTATAAGTGTTGTGAAAAAAGCTATTTAAAAAAAATCAATAGATAGTTATCTTTCAACTTTTACATGTATTTAAAAAACAGTGAAAATATTATGGATTATATGTACGGCTTCTTGAAGGACAACAAAGTCACCATATTTGGTCTGAATTTGTATGTTTTTTCTCCTCAAAATTTTTTTAACATTAATAATGTCGGCTTTTTTCTTAACTAATTTTAAACATTCTTAATTATAATTAAATTTCCCCAACATTTTGCTTACAAACTCTTTAATTTCTAAAGTCGAATTGAAAGTTGTCTTCACAGATTCAATGTGTCTGAAAATGTTATATTGAAAAAACAATACTTTTATATCCTCAAATAAAATGGGCATACCATGAGTTTAATGGTCATGCAGATATGCAATCCAGGATGTTAACAATCAGAGTTTAGATTACAGTCATATAGTAATAGGCAGAGTTTTTCTTATATAATCAATAACCAGAGTAAAGATAATTGATTAATAGAGGTTTAGTTTAATATAAGTAATAAACAAAGCTAATTAATACACTTGCAATCACATACATGTAGTTAAATTAGTAAATACAGAATATTCATACAAAATTCAGACAGAAATACTGTAATAGGTCAAGTCATTAGGGACGACATCAAAAGTTCAATGTAGGATAAAAAACTTAATTCACATCACATAGTTTTTTCACTGACCCCCCCCCCCCCCCCCCCCCCCCTTTAACTTAATTTGGGAAAGATTGATTGACCAATATGGATTTATGTAAAATCGATTTTGGATAAACAAAACTTGCAGCAACTTTCACCCCACCCTCACCCCCAAACTATTTGATTTAAGTTTTTTTATCCTACATTGGTCTTTTGATGGCGTCCCTTAGAATGTGCTGACTTTGTACATGTTGTAGTGATAGTTATGGCACCCATACAACATATAGGAATCAGTCAAAAGGAGAGAAAAATTCCTGTAATTTGTCACATAGTGACATTTGTGAGTCGGAATAACAAAATATAGACTCATTAATCTCTCCATCTTTTCAAAAATTATGAACCAGATTTTATGCATATCCATTTAGTTTTTGACGGACTCTTTTAAGTCAGAACATGATTGGACCTGTTTGAGTCAATTTGCAGAACAAAATTTCCAATCAAAGCTATGTGTTCTTCCTCTTAGCCCCCTTCTGAATCTGCCACTGATGAGTTTATTAATTGATTTTTCCATACATTATAATTAATATCAAATGGCAATGCCTGACTTAATAATTTCAATAAATTTAGTTTTTGACTGATTTTTTAAAGTCAGAACATGACTTGACCTGTTTAAGTCAATTTGCAGAACAAAATTTCCAATCAAAGCTAGGTGTACTTCCTTTAAGCCATGCAATGCCCGGCTTAAATATTT